AAGGATTTAGGGTTCTCCATTTACCTCTTTTAAGCTTCACAAGACCAAAGAGTGGGTTTCACTGTCTCCATTTTACAGATGAGAAAACTAAGGCTCAGAGAGGGGAGCTGGCTTCTCCCATAGCATGAAAATAGCAAGTGGCAGAGCTAGGATTGGACTACTGTTTCTCCTCTGGACAAAACCCTTCAGAATGAGCCCAGGCTTTCAGGACGAAGATGGTGCTCCTTCTCTGGGCACTGAAGGGGTCTCACTACCCCCTTCCCAGCCCCCCAGGAGCTGACACCTTCCTGAGAGCGTTGGCCCTGGCATGCAATATTTAGCCACCCTTTCTCTGGTTTCCAGGTTTTCCTATTGACTGTTTCCAGTAACCAGAGCCCCGGTGCCCCTATCTCCTCACTGTCAGTAATTCCTAGTCATCTTTGTGATGTCAGCTGATGGACCACTCCCTAAAGCCCTCTCTGATTCCCAGCTCCCCTCCCAGAGCTTTTCGGGCTCATCTTTCTGGTGTTCCCTGGCCTGTGTCACAGCACTGATGGTCCTAAGGGTACGCACTGGGTCGGTCTACCATTGTTCTGTGTTCTGCCCCACCCCCACCCGCAGCAGATGCTTCAGTGGATAAATCCTTTCCTGCCTGTCCAAACCTGGCCATCTTTCCAGCTCGCCGCAGCTGGAGAGATCGTCTTTTTCAAAGCTTCCTCTCTGCCCTTCCTGAGTTGGCCTCGGAAATTCAGAGATCCAAGGTCTCCTGCCTCCACAGTCCGTTGCCTGGGGACACCTGCGGTCAGCTGGGGGTAGCTGGGGCTCAGCTGCGGGATCTCGCAGGCAATGCTGCACCCTAGTGGCGCTTCTCAGCGCTGCAGCTCCGAAACCAGGGGTAGGGGAGCCCGCCCGCCTGGGCGGGCAACGATCCTATGAGGCAGATAAGGCCATGGCATTATTCAGCAGCCTGAACTTGACGTTTTCCTGCTCATAAAAGGAATACAGATGCATTCCAGAAAATATGAGACACGGAAAACTATAAAGAAAATAAAGATTGCCTGTAAACCCAGAGGCACCAACTGTTAACCATTTGGGTGCCTGTGCTTCTAATATGTCTTTTATACATATCAGTGCATTTATTGTTAGGAAATTGGGATTATCCTACATAGAGGTTTTAAAAAATAGCATTAATATGTCCTGAATTCTGAAGCAGAAGTCTGAAAAATCAGAAAAGCAAAAAGGAGAAAATTTAAAAAGCACTTATCAATCCCACCAGAGACAGCCTTTCTTCTTGACTTATTTATATTAGTGACAATGGACTGTTATTAACCCATTTATCTATCTATCTTGCAAGAATCCAAAGCAGAAATTTTTTTTAGAAGTTCCCAAGGGAGGGGCAGCCGGGTGGCTCTGTCGGTTCAGACATCCGACTTTGGCTCCGGTCATGATTGGAGCTCAAGCCTCATGTCACGGGCGGCTGGCTGCTGTCAGCAAGGAACCAGCTTCAGATCCTCTGTCCCCTCTTCTCTATCCCTCCTCTACTGGTGCGCTCTCAAAGATAAATAAAACCTTAAAAACTTAAAAGTTCCCAAAGGAAAATGTATTCTTATATTTTAGATTACCCCACTGTGGAGTAACTTTCTCCACAGTGAAATGTGGAGAAATTTAGCAATTTCTCTGGAAGCACCCCTCAGCCTCCCCCTTCCTCCAACCTCCGCCTGACACAATGTGTCCATATGGCTCCCCTGGGAATAGCTGTGCCTTCCATGAACCTGGGTGTGTTCATCTGTGGGATTAATTCTCAGAAGAGGAACTGCTTAAAAGAGGCTTTTGTGAGTCTTTTGTGAGTTTTGATAAGATATTGCAGAACTGTCTTGCAGAGAAATCATAGCAATTTGCACACCCACCAGCAGTCATGAGAGTTGCTGTTTCCCAGAAGGATCCCCAGCAGTGTTGCCAAACTTTCAGCCCCTGGGACTCATACCTGAAGCTCAGCTGCAAAGTGCTGAGCGAATGTGCACGTGCCAGGCCCCAGGCTAGGTGTCGTCGGTTTATTAACACTCACCGAACCCTCACAAGCAGCCAGCGAGGGAAGCGGTGCTATTTTCCTTCTACAGAGGAGGAAGCTGAGGTTCAGATTGCTTTGCCTGCCTCAGTTCACGGAACGGAGCAGAATTCGACCTCAGCACTCATCCTAACAACCCCCCGGGGGTTCATTAACCTTGGGGGCATCGGAATCACCCAGGGGAGGCTAGTTAAAAGTTGGTTCCGCCCCGCCTTCAGGGTTTCTGATTCAGGCCTTATGCAAAGGGCCTGAGAACATGCATTCCTATTTTCCAGCTATGCTGCTGTTGCTGGTCCAAGGAATGCATTCTGAGCACCGTCGCTCTTCATTCTTACTTTAATCTGGGACTCTATGGAAATGGCCTCGCTGACCTACATGTTCCACAAACCTTGTGTGTGTGTGTGTGTGTGTGTGTGTGTGTGTGTGTGTGTGTGTGGGAATGTGAATAATCTTTCATAGTCCTTTGAATGAACCAAGTTACGTTTGTGGCCAGTGATCCCCCTTCTTCAAGTCTGTTTTCCCACCTATGAATGATTAATGGAGAAGCTGTGAAATACAATGAAAAATACTTGTGTTTGGCAGGCCTGGACTGAGATGGTGGTTGGGCCACTGTGTGGCACTGGGCAAATTAGTGCACTTTGCTGAGCCTCACATTCCATTTTTTTTTTAAGTTTATTTATTTTGAGAGACAGAGCATGTATGCTCGAGCAGGGAAGGGACAGAGAGAGCGGGAGTGAGAATTGCAAACAGGCTCTATTCTGTCAGCACAGAGGATGGGGCTTGATCCCACGACCCTTGGGTTCGTGACCTGAGCCAAAATCTAGAGTTGGACACTTAACTGACTGAGCCACTTAGATGCTCCTTCTCTTTAAAGAGATGGGGATGTGATGGGTTCCTTGAGGATTAAATGGGGTTCTGCTCCAGAGGCTTTAGGGACAACAGTGTCCTCAGTGACAAAGGAGTGCTCCCATAACAATGGCTGTAGCTTGATTGCTGACAGCCATTTCCCCTCTCAATTTCCAGGGACGATGTTCATTTAGGGCTCCATTCCCAGAAAACCTTACTCCGTTCCTGCCACATCCTGGTGATGGCACAAAATGGATTCTTTTCTGCAAGGAAATGGGAGGACACTTTTTCAGATTCCTGGAAAGAGTCCAGTTTGAACCCAGTGATCGCACGGACAGGTGTTCTAGGTGCTGGAGACATGGCAGTGGACAAAACAGAAATCCCTGTTCCGGTAAGCTGATTGACACTGGTGCCCTAAGCATGTCAACACTGAGCCTCGATACTTTCTTGGACTCTGCGAGGGGCAAGATATGCAAATTCATAGGAACTTGTAGGTTGATCTGAAATTGACTCAAGGACACTCATATCTTGGGGAACGCCAAGAGACTGGGCTTTTACAGCCAGAACTTGTCAAACTATGATATGTACAGGGCTCCTGGGGCTCCTTTATCCTGCACATTCTAGTTTGGCAGGTCTGGGGTGGGGCTTGACAACTTACATTTCTCTCCTTTTTTCCCCCCCTAATGTTTATTCATTTTTGAGAGAGAGAGAGACAGAGAATGTGAGCGGGGAAGGGGAGGAGAGAAAGGGAAACACAGAACCCGAAGCAGGTTCCAGGCTCCAAGCTGTCGGCACAGAGCTCAGCATGGGAATCGAACTTGTGAACCATGAGGTCATGACCTGAGCCGAAGTCAGACGCTTAAGTGACCGAGCCACCCAGGTGCCCCGAGAACTTGCATTTCACACACATGTGGATATTCTAGTCTATGGGCCACACTTTGAATCTCTACATTTTAAGTGGCACCTTATATTCATCACAGCAGAACATAACCCTATTTTTCTTCAGCTTTCAGTGAAATTCTGCATATGCAAGAGAGAAACTAATTTTATCGAGTATTCCAGTCGTCCACTCTTTTGGACAGGGCTGGAAGTCTGGCTGTCTGATCCTGGCCGTGCCATAGTTTTCTGCTGACTGGGAGCAGCCTTGGCCATGCACTTTACCACCATAACCCCACTGTCTCCTTCCTACCTCAGTCTCGTTTAGGAAAAACCTTTAATAGGATGGATCCAAATGTCTCCGTCTGACGATTTTAATCTGGCATTTTTAGTCAGGTTGTGGGTTCTCTCTGGGAAAAGTTGCTGGGGTCCTAAAGCCTCACCATTAACACTGATGAACTGGTATTCTGAATGCAGAATCTGAGTCTCCAGAACTCATAAATATACAATGGACAGCCATTCATTGAACGTTTACTATGTGCCAGGCAATATGCTCACTGCTGAACAGGCATCGTGTTGCTCATGTCTGCAACAACTATGTGGAGTAGATTCAATTCTTTTCTCCATATAACCAAGGCAAACAAAGAAAACTGAAGGTCACAGAGAAGGTCAGTCGCCCAAATGCATCGATTTCCAAAGTGGGTACAACACCAAGATTCTACCGGCTGTGACTTCTGGAGCCACGCTCTTGAATGTAATTAATTTAAGTGATGGATGGAGGGATGGTAGCAGAACAGATGCAGAGACGTGAACGAGAGGGTTATAAGGCTCAATCTTTTATTAAGTCTATTAATAAGGCACTCCCCAATCTTGGGTTAACTTAGATTTTCTCTGTGAATGACAGCAAATGCTAGTTCCACATTAGCAGCTGACAAACAGTATGAAAGCAAGTTCACCTCATCACCCAGGGGCAAAAGGATCTAAGGCAGAATCACATCCCCCTCCCTGGGCTCATAACAAATGTTGCTGGAAGACTCGGCAGGGGGCCAGCAGGGGATGGGTGCTCTGCAGACGGTGTTCCTGAAAGTGGGAGACTGGTAGCCCCAAACAGGAAAATATTTCCTGCCAAAGGCAGCATACAAGACAGTCTCCTCGTTAGGAGTTCCCGATGGTAACCAGATGCTAAGTTTGAATGGACGGTACCATCGACGGTAACACAAAAACTGCATCGCTCTTTACGTACAAATAAAAGAGAGAATTTATTTTCATTCTGAGTTTATTTAACATTTCATCCAGTCGAACTGAAAGAATACAAGGACTCCAACACTGGCAAAGGCACTGTGCTAATACTGAAGTAAAATCTGCCAGTCAGTAATACGTACAATCAGAATCAACACGTGACTAGAACTACCAATAACTATTTACCTTTATAAGCTCATTGCACTTCATGTGGACTTTTCTCCAGAAAAGATATTTCTAAGAGATCAGCGAAATTGCCAATCTTGGTTCATTTGTTCCTTTTTTATAAACCGTGATTAAATGATACAGTTAATATTTCTATATAAAAGCATCAGGAGTTGGAAGCCTCGGTAAGTGTTTAAAAAGACACATCTCCATATCCATTACCCTTTCCACAACAGTGATTTGGCCCTGTCTTCCTGGTATGTGCAAAATTTCGGTTAGTTCATCAAGCTTCAAGCCAGTGGCTAATTAATATGTCAGTGAAGGTTAGGATTCTGAAAGGGACCTAACAGTTAATGGGAGTGTGTGTGTGTGTGTGTGTGTGTGTGTGTGTGTGTGTGTGTGTGTGAATTCGGAGATTAGCTGGGGCAGGCGGGGTGGGCCTCGAGCGCTTAGGTTAAAAGCCCCCCTTTCAGCACCTCATGGAGACCTGCCTTCAATTTCAGGCTTTTACCTCTGTTTAAAGAGAAGCATCTACGCCAGCAAAATACATCAGAATGTCACGGGGAACCAATTTGCCTCAAATGGTTGAAGACAGAAAATCTCAGAGAGAAAATGCTGGTGGCACAGAGGCAGGCTCACAGTGCCCCCAAGCTTCAGATCCATAATCCTTTCAGAGAAAAGAGAAACACAGACACAAGGCACACCATTTTTTCTTTATGAGGAAATGCAGACTGGTCACATTGTCAGGAAAAATCTGTTGCAACTAGCTGCTCCATTTTTCCTTCTCCCACTTACAAGTCTCTGAATTACAAGTGAACCGAGTGGTCCACCCAACAGAACCACCACCTGGCATATGCCTGGCACATCCATAGACGCGGAACACGATCCGTTACGTTAAAAACAGGTGAAGCTACTACAGATGATGTAAACGGCGGTCCGTGGATTCGTTATTTTCAAACAGGGCAGAAAATCACAGACAATATTCAAGTAAAATCATTCAGTCACTGACTCACATATACATTATTTCCATGTCTTTCTGAAAGCCAAGGAGATCTAGAAGAATGACAAGACATGTAGCTAAGTCAGAGCTGGGCTCTCGCTTCTAAAAAATTCGACCAACCAGATTCAACCCAGTCACACAGCACTGGTACTGAATATACTTCCCAAATCTGACACGTGTAACATTTCTGTTATTTGATTACTTGGTGTAAATCACTGACTTGAGGTCAACAAGCGCAAGGTAAGATTAACTTCCTAAAAATGTAAAACAGAATAAATTTAGAAGTCAACCAAAGGAAACACCCAGCAATGGGAATGCACACAATTGTGGACAGCAGGGACCGCTTACCGCACTTGTCTATTGCCGTCCCTTTCGGGAAGTATACGGAGGAGCTTTTAATCCCACAGATCCAAAAGACCCATCATTTACGCGGGGCTGACCACTGCCCAACTGGAAGCAAACTTCCCTTAATGTTTACGAGTCATTTTTTCACACCTTAGCCTCAGAGCTTTTGTGTTTTCCCAAATCACTGCTGAGTGACTGGAAACAGGAACAGGATAAACATTCAGTATTTCAAACAGATTTCCTTTTTGCTCACTGATTACCGGCAAGTATTTATTGAGTATATACTGAACATCTACTCTATGCCTAGCAGTGCTTTTTAAAACTCTGGGTGAGGGCTGGTGTATTGTCTTTGAAAACAATGACTATAAAAGCTACAGGAAGGATATGTCTGTAAATTACACCATGATTCACATGTAAGGGAGCCGACGGGTGTCGGGCGCCTGGCCCACACCAGGTGCTGTGCTGTAGGGAGCAGCTCGCCTCTAAAAGGCTAATGTGGATCTTTAAAAGGTTTCTGTCACTGGGAGAAGCCAGGCTGAGCCGGCTTTTCCTCACCAGGCTGTGGTAGGTGGGACAAGCTGGAGTCTCTTCCCCCACTTTACAATCCCTTATTAAAGTACACGCGCCGTAACTCAGGACAGGTCTCTCGGATCTTGGCTTGCAGCTCGGCCTCCAAGCTTGTCACAGACATGGAACTGGGATGAAGAAGAAACGACAGGATTATTACACAGACAGAGCAAGGAACCCGAATCTGCAGACGACAGAGAAGGGAACCTCCCCTGCCTGCAGCACCCCCCGCCCCCCGCCATGACTGGTATTGTAAAGCAGGGTCTCGTTTGAAAAATGCTTCCTGGGCCCTAAAAATGAGTGCCCAGTTCCTTCTAGGAAATTAATTGTTGATAAAAATCAAAGAAATGCACCTTAAGAACCCAACAATTATTATTTTTTTAATGGTTCTTTATGCTTTGAGAGAGAGAGAGAGAGCAGGGGAGGGGCAGAAAGCGAGACAGAATCCCAAGCAGGCTCCATGCCTTCAGCACAGAGCCCAATGCGGGGGTCCATCTCATGAACCATGACATCATGACCTGAGTTGAAATCAAGAGTCAGATGCTTAACTGACTGAGCCCCCCAGGAATCCCAAGAACCCAACAATTATTAAAAGCTTACAAACTTCCTCACTGGGAAGAATGTAAGCAAGGCCACTTTCAGACGCTGCTGGTACTGGCACACAACGTGTGGTAATGCTACTGCCCATGGAAAACCACCTAATGTTCACCAGTAATAAAAAAGACACATGTATTTAGTAGAATTTTTAACACTAACAATTCACTTGCACTAATATGCTTTTGTCCCTTGTATAATAATACATGCTTATTGCAAAACTTTCAGAAAACACTAAAATGGGAGTGCCTGGGTGGTTCAGTCAGTTGAGCATCTGACTTCGGTTCAGGACATGATCTCAGTTTGGGAGTTCGAGCCCTGCATCAGGCTCACTGCTGTCAGTGCAGAGCCTGCTGTAGATCCTTTGTACCCCCCTCTCTGCCCCTTCCCTGCTCATGCTCTCTCTCTCAAAACTAAACAAACAGTAAAAAAAAAAAAAAAAAACTAAGAATTACAAGGAAAAAACCATCACTCACAGTCACACACCACTGAGAGATGATTTGTTAGTCTTTGATAAATTTTTAAAAAGTACTTGAGGGGAACTTGGGTGGCTCAGTTGGTTAAACATCTTGACTCTGGTTCAGGTTATGAAATCACAGTCTGTGGGTTTGAGCCCCGCATCGGGCTCTGTGCTGACAGCTCAGAGCCTGGAGCCTCCTTTGGATTCTGTGTCTCCCTCTCTCTCTGCCCTTCCTCCACTCACACACACACTGTCTCTCAAAAGTAAATAAACATTTAAAAAAATAAAAAAATAAAAATAAAAAGAGTACTTGAATGTATTATATGCGTATATGTATCAGAGCTTATTTTTTTTGGCTATAAATGCATATTTATTATATAAAAGTATGAAGAAAAATTGTCCAGAATAGTTATGATAGAAAACCTGGTAATATTTTTATATGTAATTGGCCTTTTATTTCTAAATGTTTATTAATTTATTTTGAGAGAGAGAAAGAGAAAGCATGTGCTGGGGAATGGAGGAGGCACAGAGGGAGGGAGGGAGGGTCCCAAAGAGGCTCCGAGTTGTCAGCGCAGAGCTTGACATGGGGCCTGATCTCAGGAACTGTGACTGAGCCGAAACCAAGAGTCAACACTTAACCCACTGAGCCACCCAGGCGCGAAAATCAAGAAATATTTAAAAATAAGTAAATAATTAAATAAATAAAACTAGAGTGACATGTTTCTTGGCAGCTGAGTAAACTCCACCTGTAAAGCCACCTGGTTCTTGTGTTTGCTTTGTAGGAAGATGTTTAAACACTACTTCAGCCCCCTTAATGGTGCTAGGCCAATTCAGACTTTCTAATGTTTTAGCATTGTAAACATGTTTCCGGAATTCGCCCATTTGCCTGTTTTCAAATCTACTGGTATAATGATGTTAATACTACTCATTTATCTTTTTAAACTCTGCTATATCTCTAGTTATACCTCTTTTTCGTTCATAAACTGATTTGTTCCGATTAACATCACAAGATGACTGTCCCATTACTATTGCCAATGAACCAACTTTTGACTTTGTGGATCCTCTATTTTTTGGTTCTGGTCTTACGTCCTTCCTTTCTCTTTCCCTGGAGTTTATTCTTTTTGTTCCCTTTTGAACTTAAGTTGGATGTTTAGTGCATTGATTTTCGGGCCTTCTTCCTTTCTAACATAAGCATTTAAAGCTAATCACTTCTCTCAAAGCAACACTTGCTGCTTCCCACACATTTTGATCGGGAGTGTGTATTGCTTCTCATTTGTACGGGAGAATGGGTAACCGTGGCAATATTCATACAATGGACGATTATACAGCAGTCAGAACGAATGAACTTAGCCACATGCAATAATGTGGAGGAATCTTAACCGTAGGACACTGAATAAAAAGGAACGAATACCAAAAGGCTATACCTAGTGTGACACCCTTGTCTAAAAAGTTTCCAAAGAGGCAAAACTAAACAACGTTAGCAATGCATATGTGTGTGTATACACGTTATACATAAAATAAGAAATCTTAAATGCAGTTGTGTGATTAATATGAAGTTCTGCAAAATGGTTAAATCTGGCGGGGGGGTGGAGGCACGGGCATGGGCTGGGAAGAACATCCAAAGGCATGTAACCTACTGGTAATTTTTTTATTCATGAGTGGGCGGTGGATGCACGGACGTTCACTGGATCATTAAAGTATATAAAATCAAATAGGACCACGCTTGGACCAAGAAAAACAGTGTGCGATGAACCAAGGAATATGTGTAACCCTATTCTATACAACTGGTAAGAAAAAAAAAGAAAAATTAACAAATGTAGAAGCAAAACAAAACAAAACAAAACAAAACAGAGTAAGAAGATCCATTTTTAGATAGAGGAACACAAAAGTGTTCCTGGTCTCCCAAATGTGGAAACCGCGTAGTCTCCGAGGACAGGTGACCTCATGGCACTAGAACCTACAGAAAAACATTTAATGTCCAAACCTAGACTTTAAGTTAATCATAACATATGATTAATCATAACTTAAAGTTAGGTGCTCGTCTCAGCATTTCACATACACTATTTCTAAGTCACTGAGTATAAGGTCAACTGTTGGGCACTGGTATTTGCTGGAGAAATAAACTTTCTTATGTTAAGCTCTGAGATGCTGGGGTTTGAACAAGCAAATAGGTATGATTATCCCTCTTTGGAGATGAAAAACAATGCGTCTGCCTTGGGCTTGGAGAACGGGTTCTGAAGGTCCCACCCTCTCCTAGGGGAGGCCATGGCTCTAGGCATCAAGATGACACAGGGCTCTCTGTCCTTGAGATTTAGTGCCCTGTTTAAGGCCAGCAGGAGTCAAAGACAGAAGTGAAAGAGCAGGTGAAAGGTGGAGTTCTCCCTCAGGTGGAGGGAACCTGATTAAGTTAGTTCCAGCACATCTCATCGTACTTTGAAAGCCGAGGGCATGAAAGACCACATGTTTGAAGACTGTCGGCCCATGAAGGCCTCACGAAGGCAGGAGCCTGGTAATCCTCAAACAAAAGGCAAACAACAAAATGCTACTCTCTGTGCTTTCATGTTAGACCAGGAGGAGGCTGAAGACCTATAGATTTATCTGATGCTGATTTAATGCCCCTCAATCCAGTTCTTACATCAAAAGCAGGATTCAAGGGTAGCCTGGGGTGAAGGCACAAGATAAGGCTTTTGGAAGAAGGGAAGCAAATACACCAATCCCGGAGGCTAAGTGTGTGTAGCTGCTGTCCCTGGGGCGGATCCCAAATTCTACTACGTCTGTGTTACAGCTGCATTTGCCAATGGACTGGATGACAGCAAGCCGTATCCAAATTTCTATAAAAGCGAATTTGTACCAGAGTTAACCTGATGCTTACAAAAGAATAAAGCACTTTCAAATGTGATGGTAGAGCTGGATAAAGAGAGTTTTGAAATTAAGCAGATGTGTGCTTGATTTCTGCCTCTATCCTTGTCCCTTTAGAGATGTGGCTTCATTACTCTTTTTGAATCTCAACGTCCATGCAGTGAAATGGAATGACAGCACCTGCGTCTTCAAATGGTTTTTAGGAGTAAAACTTGTGATTATTCCAAAGAGTAGCAAATACATACCTTTTCTGAGGAAACAGAGCACAACACAGCGGCGTAGCAAACACCAAACTTAAAAAAAAAAAGAAAGAAAAGAACAAGACACATAAGAGTATTTTCAATGGTCCACTTTCAGGTCCTGTTTCTAGTTTACTTTTAGAACAATCCCTTTTCTTTTGATTATATTTCCTCCTAAAAATACATCCCGTTTGTGTAATTTTATTACCAAGGACTGGAGTCCAAATCAGTTTTAAAAAAATCAGAGAAATATCCAGAGCTTAAAAAAGAATCACACAGGGGTGCCTGGGTGGCTCAGTCAGTTAAGCATCCGACTTCAGCTCACAGTTGGTGAGTTCGTGAGTTCGAGCCCTGTGCTGGGCTCTGTGCTGACAGCTCGGAGCCTGGAGCCTGCTTTGAATTCTGTGTCTCCCTCTCTCTCTCTGTCCCTCCCCCGACTCATACTCTGTCTCTCTTTCAAAAATAAATAAACATTAAAAAAAAAAGAATCACACAAACAGTCCCAAATTTGTAGGTTTCCCTTTGCTTCTATCTATCTAATTGTTGAGGCCAAAAGCTCCGTAAGTTCTGGGATCTGTTCTGGGTCTCACTTTCAAAACTTGGTTCTCACGTGATCTACCCATTCCTTTGCCTTTCTTATGCTATATATTTACCTTTAAAAAGGAAATTAATTACATAAAACTCCACTCACCAAAAGCCAACTAATCCGACTTGAATGGGTGCACTCATCCAAGGGAACCTCTGTGTGGAGAAATAAATTATTTTGAATACTTTTTATACAGGCTCTTAGAGACACTTTTTCCTGCGGATTAGCGGGAAGCAAACTCTCCACACTATGAGACCCAGATTAGTGAAATTTGGGGAACACACCGCAGCGGGCACGTTAGTTCTGACTTCCTGCAGCCTCCTTGATCTGCCAACGAATGCCCATGCAAAGATCAAGTGGCCTCTCATTCTCTCTTGAACATATAATCTGAAAGCTGTCTCGCTCTAAACAGGTAGAGAAACCATACTGTTTAACTGTTAACTGTAACACAATACAGTCTGATGTCAGGCATGCAAGACAGACAAACTCGTACCCAAATCTCTGCCCTGCCAGTTCGTTCCAGACTGTGGGGAAAGGGCCGGCAGAGCCCAACCTCTCCAAGCTCTGGTTTTCTTATCTGCAAAATGAGGATCACAACGGGTGTCCTCAAAGTGTGTGGGAGGAGACGTGCCAGGTATCAGTCATTAGGCACCTAGTAAGTACAGTGCCTGGAACGTACCAGAAACCCAACATTTCCCTTGTCCCTGCATCTTCCCTTTCTTGCTCTTAGTTGCTGTCAATATGGTTAAAACTGTTGCTGGCACAGAAAACTTTTGCCTGTCACTTTTTCTTTTTAATGGAAATGAATGAGTTGGTTGGTCTTTTGGAAAACGAGCACTGTTCGCTTTTTAGTTTTCCAAAAGGAGTGGTACTGAAATACACAATATAAAGAACGGCAGGATATATGGTTATAGAAACAAGGCCACTGAAACATCTGCAACCAAGTTGTGAACTGGTTGTTATGACATCAGCCAACTTAGCGAAGAGTCAACACAAGCTGTTAGAAAACCCTGACCCCCAGGATGCTTGCGTGAGAGGCATACCCTGGTCCCTGAGAAGACTTCTCTGCAGAAAAGGCACGTCACGCAGGGTAGTGTGAGGGGAGGGAGGCACGTACTAGAGAGGAAGGGAGAAATGTCATCAAGAGGGGACACGCCCACCCCACCAAGGACAGTAAGAAAAGGACACGCCATATCTTGGGCAACTAGCTCTGAGTGATGATGGATTCTCACCAGGAGATGTAAATCCCCACCCTGGCACTGCCCAGACTTGGGACATCTGCGCTGGGTGATGGGAAGGTGAGCTGAGCACTGAAGGACTCTTTGTGAAGGATGAACTTGAGCCCGAGGGTGGCCTTCTTATTTCAAGTGGGCTCTTGTCTGAAGCAAAGGGGGCTAGCTTGTTATCCCAGAGAGCAGCTGTGGGTCATCTTAGAGAAGGAAGTGTACAAGTGAAAGGCAGACTGTAGATGACTGTAGTTCGTGCCAATGGTTTCGATGGAAAGGCTCTCAGGAATGACAAGGATCCCGGAGAATTCTGACTTCACCCAACCTGCATGTCTCCTGACTCCTCTCCAGTACCCTGTCTGCTTAATCCATCCCCACTTCTTAAATAGCACTTAGCCTGAGACTCAGGGAGCTGTGGATGTTTGGTCTTCCCTTAGATGCTCACACACTCCGAACTGTGCAAACAGAGGCTATCTTAAATAAGTTCCAATGAATTAGAGACAGTAACCATTAATTTAGAAGGTATGTATTCAATGAGGTAAAAGTGCAAAAAGCTAATAGGACTCCAAAGTCTTCCCTCTGCCATTATCGTTTCCCCAATCGCTTTACTGACATATGGAAAACCACACATATTTGATGTGCACAGTGTTAGTTTTGACACATGTATTTGGCTGTGAAGCCATCACCACAATCAAGATAATGAACACAGCCATCCATCCCTAAGGCGTTCCTTGTTCCTCCTGCCCTGGGCAACTTCTGTCCTTCTGAAACCCTGCATCCCATTCCCTGGCAGCCTCTGATCTCTTCTTGGTCACTATGTACCAGTGTATATTATCTAGCATTTTGTGTACAGAATATATTCCTTTGTGTAATCACTTTGAGGTTCATTCAGGTTGCTGCACGTATCAGTAGTTCATTACGTTTTCTTGCTGGGTTAGGTATTCCACTGCATGCATACAGCACAATTTGATAATCTCTTCTCCTGCTGATGCCCATTTGGGCTGTTTCCAGTTTTTGGAGATCGCAAATAAAGCTGTCATGAACATCCATCTTTTATGGACACGTGCTTTCATTTCTCTGAGATAAACACCTAGGAGGGACATTGCTGGATCAGGCGGTAAGCATCTGTTTCACTTTGTAAGAAGCTATCAAACTATTTTCCAATGTGGTTGTACCGTTTTTCATTCCCACTAGCAGGATATGAGAGCTCCAGTTTCTCCACATTGCTACCAATATTGGCTCTGGTCAGTCTTTTCGATTTTAGCCATTCCTGTAGGTGTTTAGTGGTAGCTCATGGAGTTTAAATGTGAATTTCCCCAGTAAATAAAGATACCGAGCATCTTTTCATGTGCTTACTAGATATAGATATAGATATATTTGGTGAAATGTCTGTTCAAACCTTTTGCTCATTTTTTAAATTGGGTTGTTTTCCTGAGCGAGTGTTGAGGGCTCTTTATATCTCCTGGATAGAAGTCCTTTATCAGATACAAGCTTTGCATAGATTTTTCTCCCAGTCTGTTTGCCTTTTCATCTCCTTAGAGTTTTCAAAACAACAGAACTTTATCATTTTGATGAAGTCCAGTTTATCAATTTTTCTTTTATGGACTGTGCCTTTGCTGTTGTGTCTAAGGGATCTTGGCCTAACTCTCAGCCTCAAAGATGGTCTCTTCTATTTTTTGCTAGAAGTTCTACAATTGTAGATTTTTAAGTTTAGAGTCTATGAACCGTGGGGAGTTAATTTTTATATATGGTACAGTCAATTCCCTATACATAGCCCACAGCCTGGCCATCTGGAAGTTTCCCAATAAGGCATGCTGTGTGTCTTCCCTGAGCTTCTGTGGACCATGTGTCCTTGACCAGCAGTCAAGTCTCTGCCCACCTCCCGCATTCGGGGGAGATACTGCCTCTATTCCCTCTATGCCGCATTCTGCAGCCACCAAGTATTGGAACGACAGCCTTATGCCTCTTTGCATCACGGTGCCATCTGGCCCCTGAGAGCAGGGCTCTGTTTCTATGACTCAAGCATCCAGCCCATTGCTTGGCATGTAACAGGCATTCAGATTCAGCAAAAGGCTGCTGAGTAACTACATGAGGGGATGAACAAATAAATGCCACACTCACACTTAATTAATAGAAGGTCCTGAGAATCTACCAAGTAGACAGACCTGTCCATCTTTGTTAATGGGAATAAAGAAGAAGCAGAATTAAGGAATGAGGAACTAGTAACTGATCTAAACTCTATTCACTTTATTTATTCCTAATGCAAGTGCCAGGGTCAAGTGACCGTGGCAGTTATTCTTCAAGAATACCATTCTTCAAAATGCCAGATTTTAGGCAGTGAACGTTTCGGTTTATTACAAAGATTGCTGTGAGTCACCTGCCCACAGCTGATGCTTTTTTTCTGGCACTCTGCTTGGGAAAAGATAAGGCACAGGGCAAAGGATGAGTCATGTGGAGTGCTCCCTGAGCTCACCATTAAAAAAGCCAAGAATGTTCCATTTGTTTCATGTTGGCAGAGGAGTTTGGTCATGTCCGAGGTTACAACCCAGGTAAATGCATCTTTACAGAGGGGCACATGTAGCCGCCGGAGCTGTGGGAGCAATCAGGGGGCCAGGCAAGGCAGATACCACCCATGTGGACGATATGAACTGCTGAATGATTTCTGGGACCTCCATAAAAGGAGCACAGTAAAGCCTGTCTTTCAGGATGCATGTGAAAGTGCTCTGAAGATGGAAACAAATGGATGTTAATATAAGCCACCTCTGCCTATGTTTTAGTAGTAGCTACACTATCAGCTCAGTCCATGGGAGCTCTCTATGTGTGCAAAATGCAGTATTTGAGTCTAACAGCGACCCTGCACTTGGGGAGTGGAATGTGCGTATGAATAGCTTAATGTTCAGCCATTGCTATTTCAAAACAACATCCTCCACCGAGATCTGAAGAGGTATAGCCTCAACCAGACCCCCGGGGGGCTAGCAGGACACTGGGACTTATCTACTGAGCTACTCTGACCGCCTCTCTCAACCTTGCCTCAGTAGTGGGGGCGGGGGGGGGGGGG